CAGGGCTAGGTGGGGCCTTGCTGCAGGGTCCTGCTGCCAGTTTCCCCTGGGTCCTGCTGCCCCTGGATCCTGTCATCTTTGGGAGGGAGCAGATAAATACTAATTTTCTAAAATTTTTATGGGTCCCACGGTCCCCAAAGAACGGCCTGGCAACCTGTATTTTGCCTGCCCCTGTGATATACCATCTTGCCGTAAAGAGATTCCATACGCATACCTCAAGTCACCTGGGCTACCTTTGAGAAAGTGGAATTTGCTCACTTCTGCACAACTGTCTTGTGTTAATTAAGGAGGAGAATGGGGTGGATGGGAGAGATAATATTTATAAATAAATGCCATTAAGAATACAATTCACTCTGTGTATAACCTACCTTTGCTTCTTCATTGACATCCCAAGTAAAGGACACAGCGTTGTATGCAATTTCCTCAATATTCCCAATGGTGTTAAAACTCTCCTTGTAATCAGCTGTGGACACAACAAATTTTAAAAAATGTTGAGAAAAATTATATATACGTTTATTCTTAAAGTTCATGGATGAGTCTTCAAGTCTGCCCTTTGCCTTTTCATTCAGGTGGGGTTCAGGTGTCAGGAAAACCTACAGTTACTTATGTTTCACTGCAGATGGAAAGGCAGGTTGGCACTTTAGAAACTTCCTGCTCTACCTTCTTCTTAAGTCCCTTTCTGATGTTTAATTGTTAATAAATCTAATTTAACACACTGTGATATTTCTGCTAAGCTATACTCTTTAGTACACTGTGGGGGCATCTACAAGAGATACTTACTAAAGATTTGCCTAATTAGCTCCACAGTAAAGCATCACCATTTACACGTGCAGAGCTATTAGCCTGGAGTAAACTAATTAACTCTGCCATAGGTTAGTACTGCCTGCTGCAGGTACTATCCTACAGTGGAGTTATTTACTGCACCGCAATGCATGTGTAGAGGGTGACTGGAGCTGGCTGGGGCACAAGGGTGCTACAATGTGGGAGCTGCCTGCCAGCCAGCCCCACACAGTAGCACCCTTATGCCCCAACCAGCCCCTCGAGCCAGGGCAGAGCAGCTTCAAGCTGGCAGGCTGACCCCTGAAGCCATCTGCCAGCCAGGGCTGTACCACCCTGGCTTAATGTGCTGCAGTCCTGGACACATGTGTAAACCCTGTACCTGGGAACAATAAACTCCAGAGTGAACTGTGCTGGAGTTTATTCATGCACATTAATTGTATGTGTAGATGTGCCCTGTGTGACCTCTATTTTTACTTGAGATTTTGTTCTTCACAAGAAATCAGTAGTTCTGCAACAGGAACAAATGAGTGTGCTCATTAACTTGGTAGCAAGAAGGAATGGCTAAAATGGGAAGACAAAGGAAACACTTTAAAGGAGGATTTTAAAGATGACTGGAAAAAAAAAAAAAAAAAAAAAGCCAAGGAGGTCAATGAACCTTGAAGATGGCTTGTGACATCTAAGTAGTACTCCCGTCATTAGCAAAATCAGCCTGGAGGAGAAAGGAACTATTCCTTCAAACATGCTTCCTCATTATCTTATAATTTTGAAAGATATGATTTAGTCAAACACAAATGGTTGAGCTTGATACAGGGATAACTAGGTAAAAATCGAATGGTTTGTTCTAAGTAGGAGATCAGGTTAGATGATCTAATAGATCCTGCTGGCCTTCAACTCTGTGAATTTATGATTGATATAGACTAGAAACCCTCAAAGAGCAAGGCTCACTGGTTTTGAACCCTGATGGTTGGAAAGCTGATTACATTTTTAAAATGCTAGGAGAACAAAAGACTTCTGCCATTACTCATCCTAAGAACAATTTATGGCTCATTTTTGTTTTAGAGATGCAACAATAACCAGGATATGGTCTTCCATTGTTTCAAGGAAATGGGAGGTTTGGCGCAGTGTTCACTGTGGGTGCATCTACACATGCAATTAATGTGACACGATAAACTCTGGAGCAGTTTGTGCCAGAGTACACTGCTCCTGGGTGCAGTGTCTATACGTGTCCCTGGGACAGCAGCATTTTCAGCTGAGGCAGAACAGCCCCAGGCTGGCAGCAGCCTCAGGTGGGGTCAGCCCTGGGCTCCAAGTAGTGGCATTGGGCAGCAGAGGGGCTGGCTGGGGCACAAGATTAAAAAAAAAAAAAGTAGCTTTACACATTTTAAAAGAAATGCCCTAACAGATTCACTGGAAGCAAATGAAGTCCTGGATGTATGAATTGTGCAGTGAAGTCAGCTTTTACCCATCTGTGGAATCAAAAGGATAGATTCTAAGTTCAGGCCTATAGGCTATAGGTATTTTACACTGCAACCAAACTGGTAGAATGCCTTGGCCCAGATAGTTTCATTTGTACCATTTGTTACCGACAGAAATATGAGAAACCCTTTTCAAGTAAACGTATGTTTAAAAGCATGATCATTTAACAAATGAACAAATGTTTATAACCAGCAAAGAAAGATACATTTGTGTTTTGTTTTTTACTTTTTCGTGACTGAGCAGCTCACTTTATCTTGCTTACTTTGGAATTTATCCAAAAAAAAAAAAAAAAAAAAAAAAAAAAAAAAAAAAATTGTGCTCGTTTTAAAGTTAGATACATCAGGAATATATCCATCAAACATGAAAAAGCAGAACTTGGAAATGTCATCTTTCCTATAATTTAAGGCATGGGGTGGTAGATCTTAAAAAAAAAAAAATGTGGGTTTTTGCCCTCAAATTGAATTGGAAACAGGAAAAATGAGCCCAAGTGGTTTTTAAAACATCCAAAGGAAACTGCATCCCCTCAGTTAATTGGGTTTCACATCCTTGGGGCCCATGATATTCTAACTTTATTGGTATTGTCATCACCTAAAAAATATTGACAAGGAGAACAACAATGTATACAAGGCCTGAATTTCTAAGGTAAAGGAAAGTAGGAAAAAACTGTATGAAGAATCTTTGTTTTGTGTTTTTTGTTGTTGTTTTGGTAAAGCAGAAGAAAGAAACAATAACCTATGTTTTCTCTTTTCCTTGTCACCTTTAATACTTCTAACTCCAGATTAAAAGAGACTTCAGTTTCTTCAAGAAAGCATGTCATCTCTCCATGGAATAAGTCAATCTTTTAAGGGCTGTAATTGCACTTTGTACAAGACAGCTGTAATTATTTAATGCAACTATCCTTATCTTCTAACTTTTGTCTGTATCTGCACTTCAAAAATATGTTGATTTCTAACTTTGTAGTTAGTTGTATAAAGAGAATAATATTCTGCATCTGTAAATGATGGTCTTATGCATTCCTAGTATTCCTTTTCTCAGTCTTGTTTTCTCTTTAAGAAAATAATAAACAGTATGTGGGTTTTAAAAACAACAGTTGATTAATGTAAATTTGTCTAGCAAAAACACCAGTGTTGTGAGGGTAATAACTTAATGTGAGAGAGAGAAGTATAATTAATAGACATCTTCTGCTCTGAAAGGCAGGGGTGCTGTCTGGACTAGTGAAACAATGCATCTGGAATGCTTGAAACAATTTGCATACTAGGAAGAATTCATAATGTTCCTATGCCCCAGACATGGCATAGGGCAGACACCTTCTTCCATAAGGTAAAACAACTGGTCACAATATATGTGTGTTTAGAGAGGAAGTTACTGCTTTCTATCTCCACTGTGAATTTAGGTCATTTTTCTAAATGAAGACATTGGCATCACAATCTCATTTTTGTTTAAGAATGCAAGCAAGAAAAATTGAGACACACATACATCTCAAAATGTGCACAAAGACACACTTTTAGTTGATGACTGAGCAAAAATACCTCATGCAAATGATAACACATCTTGGAAGGAGGTGAACAAGAGGTCTTGTAAATATAGGGGCACCGATACATTGGTCCATATTGTATTGGTACCAATAAGAGGAAGATTAAAATTATCAGCAAATCAGCTTTTTTTGGCTGATGTCACCAATAAATGTCACATGCATGGGTACAGCCTCAACATGCATGCATCCAGAAATGCAGCCTGGAGAGTAGTGTTCAGCTGGTAAGTCTGTTGGGGGTATTGTGGAGGAAGGAGAAGGGGGAAGGAAGGGGTGTGGGGGGGGCAGATTGAGGCCCTCACGGTGAGGGAGGGAGCAGGGCTGGGGCAGGGCAGAGCTGGCAGCTCATCTGGGGGGCAGCTCCCACCACTGTGCACATCCCCAAGGGAAGCATAGGGAGGTGTGCCCCTCCAAATGTGTGTGTGTGGGGTAAGAGTGGGCTGCTGCCCCCACCCTTTACTGCCATGCTTCCTCTCAGGGGCTGTGTTGGTCTCTTCCCAGCAGCTGAACTCCAGCCGGGCAGGATGGGGTGGTGGTGGCAGCACTGGGAGGAAGGTTAGGGGGAGGCTAAGATAGTGTCTCTAGCCCCCCCCCCCCATAGTCCCCCTCCCAGCACGGCCACCTGACCCAACCCGAGCACACCTGACAGGAAGAACCCGGTGCATCCTCCAAGTACAAGTGCACAATGGCACTCTGCCCTCACCCCACAAACAGATCCAGGAGGCACATGTCCCCCATGCTACTCCTGCGAGTGTGCACAGTGGCGAGAGCCATTACCTGCACCCCCAGATGAGGCCTGCAGATTTAAAAGTGTCTAGCCTTTCCAGGAAATCCTTAACTACATCTGCGCTGACTGAAGGCTTGATAGAGCTATCCCCAAGACTGTCACCTACCTCTGGTAGGTGGGATATCCTGGTCCCTGTTCAGGAAAACAGAGGCAAAGAAACTGTTAAAAATATCAGCTTCTTTGTCTGGCGTGGCCACCAGATTACCGTTTGTGTCTTGCAGGGGCCCTACATTGCCTGGTGCCCTCTTCTTGCTCCCAATGTACTTGAAACAGGACTTTTTGTTGTCCTTAATCCTGGACGCTAGCCTGAGTTCCATCTCTGCCTTGGCCTTCCCAATAGCCCTCCTACACTCCCAGGCTGAGGAGGAGTACTCCTCCTTGGTGATAGCTCCTCCCTTCCACTGGTTGTACGCCCCCCTTTTAGTCCTCAGGCATCGCTGAATGCCCTTGCTGAGCCAAGGGGGTTTCTGAGCACTCTTACCCCCCTTGCTTCTCTCAGGGACTATTATCCTTTGGGCCTGGAGGATCGCCCCCTTAAGGTACAACCATCCCTCGTGGACTCCCATCTCCTCTACCTTCTGGGCCCTTAGTGCCTCCCCCACTATTCTCCTAAGCTCATTGTTTAATGCTCCAATCTCAGAGCTGGAGGTGGTACTCACTGTATCACCAGCCAGTAGGGGAAGAACATCTCCCTGCTGAGCTCCCATGCCAGGATGAACTTGGAGGTACGAACTGGGGCTATGGGGAAGGAGAAGACCCCAGGTCCTGGGCATGACCTAAAACTGCACCCTGCCAGGGTCAGGCCTGGTGGGACTGCTGGTGGCACAGCAGCCCCCCAAAAATGCTAGGGCCGGAAACCTCTCTGGTGAAAGGTGGGTAAGAAACACCT